GGGGCCCATGGCAGATTAGGGGCCTGGCAGCAGCTATGGGAGGCCCGTAATCTGCCAGCACCCTATGTCAAAAAATTCAACACACCAGCAGTGTGTGTGAGGAGACCTGAAAGTGGCACATGGCAGAGAGTGTGGCGATGGAGACAGCAGCAATGGGAGGCCGTACAGGGACCCATGAGAGACTCTGGACTTGGCAGCAGCAGCATGAGGAGGCGGTATATAGGGGCCCATGGCAGATTAGGGGCCTGGCAGCAGCTATGGGAGGCCCGTAATCTGCCAGCACCCTATGTCAAAAAATTGAACACACCAGCAGTGTGTGAGGAGACCTGAAAGTGGCACATGGCAGAGTGTGGCGATGGAGACAGCAGCAATGGAGGCCGTACAGGGACCCATGAGAGACTCTGGACTGGCAGCAGCATGAGGAGGCGGGGGTATAGGGGGGCCCATGGCAGATTAGGCAGATTAGGGGGCTGGCAGCAGCTATGGGAGGCCCGTAATCTGCCAGCACCCTATGTCAAAAAATTGAACACACCAGCAGTGTGTGAGGAGACCTGAAAGTGGCACATGGCATGGCAGAGTGTGGCGATGGAGACAGCAGCAATGGGAGGCCGTACAGGGACCCATGAGAGACTCTGGACTTGGCAGCAGCATGAGGAGGGCGGTATATAGGGGCCCATGGCAGATTAGGGGCCTGGCAGCAGCTATGGGAGGCCCGTAATCTGCCAGCACCCTATGTCAAAAAAAAATTGAACACACAGCAGTGTGTGAGGAGACCTGAAAGTGGCACATGGCAGAGTGTGGCGATGGAGACAGCAGCAATGGGAGGCCGTACAGGGACCCATGAGAGACTCTGGACTTGGCACAGCATGAGGAGGCGGGTATATAGGGGCCTATGGCAGATTAGGGGCCTGGCAGCAGCTATATGGGAGGCCCGTAATCTGCCAGCACCCTATGTCAAAAAAAATTCAACACACCAGCAGTGTGTGAGGAGACCTGAAAGTGGCACATGGCAGAGTGTGGCGATGGAGACAGCAGCAATGGGAGGCCGTACAGGGACCCATGAGAGAGAGACTCTGGACCTGGCAGCAGCATGAGGAGGCGGTATATAGGGGCCCATGGCAGATTAGGGGCCTGGCAGCAGCTATGGGAGGCCCGTAATCTGCCAGCACCCTATGTCAAAAAATTCAACACACCAGCAGTGTGTGAGGAGACCTGAAAGTGGCACATGGCAGAGTGTGGCGATGGAGACAGCAGCAATGGGAGGCCGTACAGGGACCCATGAGAGACTCTGGACCTGGCAGCAGCATGAGGAGGCGGTATATAGGGGCCCATGGCAGATTAGGGGCCTGGCAGCAGCTATGGGAGGCCCGTAATCTGCCAGCACCCTATGTCAAAAAATTGAAAACACCAGCAGTGTGAGGAGACCTGAAAGTGGCACATGGCAGAGTGTGGCGATGGAGATGGAGACAGCAGCAATGGGGAGGGCCGTACAGGGACCCATGAGAGACTCTGGACTGGCAGCAGCATGAGGAGGGGGTATATAGGGGCCCATGGCAGATTAGGGGCCTGGCAGCAGCTATGGGAGGCCCGTAATCTGCCAGCACCCTATGTCAAAAAAATTGAAACACACCAGCAGTGTGTGAGGAGACCTGAAAGTGGCACATGGCAGAGTGTGGCGATGGAGACAGCAGCAATGGGAGGCCGTACAGGGACCCATGAGAGACTCTGGACCTGGCAGCAGCATGAGGAGGCGGTATATAGGGGCCCATGGCAGATTAGGGGCCTGGCAGCAGCTATGGGAGGCCCGTAATCTGCCAGCCAGCACCCTATGTCAAAAAATTCAACACACCAGCAGTGTGTGAGGAGACCTGAAAGTGGCACATGGCAGAGTGTGGCGATGGAGACAGCAGCAATGGGAGGCCGTACAGGGACCCATGAGAGACTCTGGACCTTGGCAGCAGCATGAGGAGGCGGTATATAGGGGCCCATGGCAGATTAGGGGCCTGGCAGCAGCTATGGGAGGCCCGTAATCTGCCAGCACCCTATGTCAAAAAATTCAAAACACACCAGCAGTGTGTGAGGAGACCTGAAAGTGGCACATGGCAGAGTGTGGCGATGGAGACAGCAGCAATGGGAGGCCGTACAGGGACCCATGAGAGACTCTGGACTGGCAGCAGCATGAGGAGGCGGTATATAGGGGCCCATGGCAGATTAGGGGCCTGGCAGCAGCTATGGGAGGCCCGTAATCTGCCAGCACCCTATGTCAAAAAAAATTGAACACACCAGCAGTGTGAGGAGACCTGAAAGTGGCACATGGCAGAGTGTGGCGATGGAGACAGCAGCAATGGGAGGCCGTACAGGGACCCATGAGAGACTCTGGACTTGGCAGCAGCATGAGGAGGCGGTATATAGGGGCCCATGGCAGATTAGGGGCCTGGCAGCAGCTATGGGAGGCCCGTAATCTGCCAGCACCCTATGTCAAAAAATTGAACACACCAGCAGTGTGTGAGGAGACCTGACCTGAAAGTGGCACATGGCAGAGTGTGGCGATGGAGACAGCAGCAATGGGAGGCCGTACAGGGACCCATGAGAGACTCTGGACTGGCAGCAGCATGAGGAGGCGGTATATAGGGGCCCATGGCAGATTAGGGGCCTGGCAGCAGCTATGGGAGGCCCGTAATCTGCCAGCACCCTATGTCAAAAAAATGGAACACACCAGCAGTGTGAGGAGACCTGAAAGTGGCACATGGCAGAGTGTGTGGCGATGGAGACAGCAGCAATGGGAGGCCGTACAGGGACCCATGAGACTCTGGACTGCAGCATTGGCAGTATAGGGGCAGCATGAGGAGGAGGCGGTATATAGGGGCCCATGGCAGATTAGGGGCCTGGCAGCAGCTATGGGAGGCCCGTAATCTGCCAGCACCCTATGTCAAAAAATTCACACACACCAGCAGTGTGTGAGGAGACCTGAAAGTGGCACATGGCAGAGTGTGGCGATGGAGACAGCAGCAATGGGAGGCCGTACAGGGACCCATGAGAGACTCTGGACTGGCAGCAGCATGAGGAGGCGGTATATAGGGGCCCATGGCAGATTAGGGGCCTGGCAGCAGCTATGGGAGGCCCGTAATCTGCCAGCACCCTATGTCAAAAAATTGAACACACCAGCAGTGTGTGAGGAGACCTGAAAGTGGCACATGGCAGAGTGTGGCGATGGAGACAGCAGCAATGGGAGGCCGTACAGGGACCCATGAGAGACTCTGGACAGCAGCAGCAGCAGGGCGGTATATAGGGGCCCATGGCAGATTAGGGGCCTGGCAGCAGCTATGGGAGGCCCGTAATCTGCCAGCACCCTATGTCAAAAAATTGAACACACACCAGTGTGTGTGAGGAGACCTGAAAGTGGCACATGGCAGAGTGTGGCGATGGGATGGAGACAGCAGCAATGGGAGGCCGTACAGGGACCCATGAGAGACTCTGGACCTGGCAGCAGCATGAGGAGGCGGTATATAGGGGCCCATGGCAGATTAGGGGCCTGGCAGCAGCTATGGGAGGCCCGTAATCTGCCAGCACCCTATGTCAAAAAATTGAACACACCAGCAGTGTGTGAGGAGTGGACCTGAAAGTGGCACATGGCAGAGTGTGGCGATGGAGACAGCAGCAATGGGAGGCCGTACAGGGACCCATGAGAGACTCTGGACTGGCAGCAGCATGCATGAGACTCTGGGGAGGCGGTATATAGGGGCCCATGGCAGATTAGGGGCCTGGCAGCACTATGGGAGGCCCGTAATCTGCCAGCACCCTATGTCAAAAAATTGAACACACCAGCAGTGTGTGAGGAGACCTGAAAGTGGCACATGGGCAGCAGAGTGTGGCGATGGAGACAGCAGCAATGGGAGGCCGTACAGGGACCCATGCAGACTCTGGGACCTGGCAGCAGCATGAGGAGGCGGTATATAGGGGCCCATGGCAGATTAGGGGCCTGGCAGCAGCTATGGGAGGCCCGTAATCTGCCAGCACCCTATGTCAAAAAATTGGAACACACCAGCAGTGTGTGAGGGACCTGAGTGGCACATGCTGAGAACTGTGGCACATGGCAGCAGTGAGGAGGTGGCAGGGGCCCATGGCAGATTACAGCAGCAATGGGGAGGCCGTACAGGGACCCATGACAAAAAAGACAGCAGTGTGTGAGGGACCTGGCAGCAGCATGTGGGATGGAGCAGCATATAGGAGGCCGTACAGGGACCCATGAGAGACTCTGGACCTGGCAGCAGCATGAGGAGGCGGTATAGGGGCCCATGGCAGATTAGGGGCCTGGCAGCAGCTATGGGAGGCCCGTAATCTGCCAGCACCCTATGTCAAAAAATTGGACACACACCAGCAGTGTGAGGAGACCTGAAAGTGGCACATGGCAGAGTGTGGCGATGGAGACAGCAGCAATGGGAGGCCGTACAGGGACCCATGAGAGACTCTGGACCTGGCAGCAGCATGAGGAGGCGGTATATAGGGGCCCATGGCAGATTAGGGGCCTGGCAGCAGCTATGGGAGGCCCGTAATCTGCCAGCACCCTATGTCAAAAAAATTCAACACACCAGCAGTGTGTGAGGAGACCTGAAAGTGGCACATGGCAGAGTGTGGCGATGGAGACAGCAGCAATGGGAGGCCGTACAGGGACCCATGAGAGACTCTGGACCTGGCAGCAGCATGAGGAGGCGGTATATAGGGGCCCATGGCAGATTAGGGGGGCCTGGCAGCAGCTATGGGGCCCGTAATCTGCCAGCACCCTATATGTCAAAAAATTCAACACACCAGCAGTGTGTGAGGAGACCTGAAAGTGGCACATGGCAGAGTGTGGCGATGGAGACAGCAGCAATGGGAGGCCGTACAGGGACCCATGACTCTGGACTTGGCAGCAGCATGAGGAGGCGGTATATAGGGGCCCATGGCAGATTAGGGGCCTGGCAGCAGCTATGGGAGGCCCGTAATCTGCCAGCACCCTATGTCAAAAAATTGAACACACCAGCAGTGTGTGAGGAGACCTGAAAGTGGCACATGGCAGAGTGTGGCGATGGAGACAGCAGCAATGGGAGGCCGTACAGGGACCCATGAGAGACTCTGGACCTGGCAGCAGCATGAGGAGGCGGTATATAGGGGCCCATGGCAGATTAGGGGCCTGGCAGCAGCTATGGGAGGCCCGTAATCTGCCAGCACCCTATGTCAAAAAATTCAACACACCAGCAGTGTGTGAGGAGACCTGAAAGTGGCACAGAGTGTGGCGATGGTGGACAGCAGCAGACAGCAGCAATGGGAGGCCGTACAGGGACCCATGAGAGACTCTGGACCTGGCAGCAGCATGAGGAGGCGGGTATAGGGGCCCATGGCAGATTAGGGGCCTGGCAGCAGCTATATGGGAGGCCCGTAATCTGCCAGCACCCTATGTCAAAAAATTGAACACACCAGCAGTGTGTGAGGAGACCTGAAAGTGGCACATGGCAGAGTGTGGCGATGGAGACAGCAGCAATGGGAGGCCGTACAGGGACCCATGAGAGACTCTGGACTTGGCAGCAGCATGAGGAGGCGGGGGTATAGGGGCCCATGGCAGATTAGGGGCCTGGCAGCAGCTATGGGAGGCCCGTAATCTGCCAGCACCCTATGTCAAAAAAAAAAATTGAACACACCAGCAGTGTGAGGACCTGAAAGTGGCACATGGCAGAGTGTGGCGATGGAGACAGCAGCAATGGGAGGCCGTACAGGGACCCATGAGAGACTCTGGACCTGGCAGCAGCATGAGGAGGCGGTATAGGGGCCCATGGCAGATTAGGGGCCTGGCAGCAGCTATGGGATGGGAGCCCCGTAATCTGCCAGCACCCTATGACAAAAAATGGAACACACCAGCAGTGTGTGAGGAGACCTGAAAGTGGCACATGTTTGGGCATGATTCATGGCGGATTTAGTCAGTTGTGTCAGGAACTGGTGGTTTGAAATCCAGACTAATCCACGCCTGATTCATTTTCACAAACGTGAGTCTCTCCACACTTTGGGTGGACAGTCGTGTCCTCCGCGGAGTTACAATACCTCCTGCCGCACTAAACACGCGCTCCGATGCCACGCTACTGGCCGGGCATGACAGCCTTTCAAGGGCAAATTCAGCTAGTTGGGGCCAAAGGTCAAGTTTCGTTGCCCAGTAGTCAAGGGGATTGTCTACCTCGGTTGGCAGGGTGCTGTCCAAGTAGGCCCAAGCCTGTTGTTTGAGGTCCTGCTCCAGGTCCACTGATGCTGCTGCTGCTGCTGCTGCTGCTGCTGCGGCTGGTTAGTAGTTTCCTCACTGCGCTGGTGAAGAAAGCTACTCATCATCGACTGCAGACTGAGGCAGCAGCTGCTGCTGGTGGAGCTGCCACTGCTCCTACCACCCCACCCCTCCCCTGCTGCCATGGCAGCGGAACGCGAGCGCACAGGGCCCACAGTGTCTGAGGATGGACGTTGGCGCACAAAGGCAGAGACCAACTGACTACATAGGTGGTTTTTATAGTACGTTATTTTGGCCTCCCTCTCAGCAGGTGTGAAAAAGGCCACCATTTTTGAACGGTAGCGAGGGTCCAACAAGGTGGACAGCCAAAAGTCATCCCTCTGTCTGATGGTTATTATTCGGCTGTCGCTACGCAAGCAACCGAGCATGCTATGGGCCATTTGTGCCAAGGAATGCGAGGGACTCCCTGCCTCCATCTCCACAGCATACTGCCACGGTGCGTCTGGGTCCTCTGTCTCCTCCTCCTCCTCCTCTACCAGATGCTCCTGCTCCTCCACTCCTGTCCGCTGAGTGGAAAAACCACCCATTTCACTCAATAATTCCTGAGCACAAATGTCCTCCTCTACCTCTCCTCCTCTTCTTCCTGTCCTGCCCCCACAGGGGTCATGTGGCGTTGAGATCTGTGCGCCACGTCTACCGCACCCTGACCAGCCATTGTTAACAGCATTTGTTCCAGGACGTGCAACAGAGGAATGACGTCGTTCATCCCATAGTCCTGCCGACTCACGAATAGCGTGGCCTCCTCAAAGGGCCTGAGCAAGCGGCAGGTGTCACGCATGAGCTGCCAATGGCTGACATCGAAGTTACACAGGGGAGTACCTTTATCCGCTTGTAACATCAGGAAATCGGTGATGGCCTTTCGCTGTTCGTAAAGGCGGTCTAACATGTGTAGGGTTGAATTCCACCTTGTTGCAACGTCGCAGATCAGGCGATGCTGTGGAATTCCGTTCTGCCGCTGCAGCTCAAGGAGGGTGTGCTTTGCGGTGTAGGAATGGCTGAAATGCATGCAAAGTTTACGTGACATTTTAAGGATGTCTTGCAGTGGGATGGTGGATTTTAGGAACCGCTTGACAACCAGATTGAACACGTGAGCCATGCATGGCGCATGGCACAACCTTCCTTGACGCAGAGCAGACACCATGTTCTTTCCGTTGTCGGTCAACATGGTTCCGATTTTCAGTTTGCGCGGAGACAGCCATCTGTCGATTTCTCTGTTCATTACACTGAGAAGTTCCTCCCCTGTGTGACTACGTTCGCCAAGGCATACCAGGTGCAGCACAGCGTGACACCGTTGCGCCCTGCACATGTGATATGCCGGTCGGGTAATGGGACTTGGCACGGGGGTGGGGGGGGGGTGGCGGCTGAGGACACGGCGGAAGAAGAGGTGGTAGAGGCGGACATCTTTGCCGGACCAAGGACGTGCAAACGTGGAGGCAAAAGCGGCGTGACCTGTCCAAGTTGCTGGTGCGGCTGTGACGGCACCACGTTCACCCAGTGGGCCGTAAATGACATGTACTGTCCCTGACCGTAGTTACAGCTCCACACGTCGGCGCTGCCGTGCACTTTGGCAGAGACCGACATGCTCAAAGACTGGCCCACCATCTCTTCTACATGTGAATGCAGGGCTGGCACTGCCTTTTTGGCGAAGAAATGACGGCTTGGCACTCTCCACCGCGGCGCGGCACAAGCCATCATTTCTCGGAAAGGTGCTGAGTCCACCACTTGGAAAGGGAGGGACTGCAGCACCAGCAACTTGGACAGGAGGACGTTCAGCTTTTGCACCGTCGGGTGCGTGCTCGCAAACTGTTGTCTCTTGGAAACGGATTCCAAGAAAGACTGCTGACGGAATCCGTGAAGAGGAGTAGCAGGAGAAGGAGCATCTGAACGAGCGGAAGATGCCAACGAGCGACAACTCCCCTCAGCAGAGGTGTTGGAGCCTTGACTGGCTGATAGAGGGCGATTGACGTCGGGTGACGGAGCAAGTAACGGAGCGGGTGATGGAGCGGGGGCTGGGGCGGGCAGAACCGCCGTATCTTTATCACGGTTTTCCCAGGCCACCAAATGGCGACGCTGCATATGCTGCCGCAACGCTGTAGTCCCAACATGGGCCCCCTGGCCACGCTTGACTTTCTGGCCACATAGTCGACATACGGCTACGTTTACTTCCTCGGGCGGCTTGACAAAAAATTGCCACACCGCCGAGTAGGAAACTTTGCCCCCGATACTCCTCACTGGCTGACTGCTGCTTCCTCCGTGCACACCGGCACCACTACTGGCCGTGGTGGTAGGCTGCAGTGGAGCTGGTGCTGTACTCCGTGGCCGTTTGCCTCCACTGACACTGCTGCGACCCTGCTGCCTCCTGGGCAACCCACCGACTGTTTTGCTCGCTGCCAAGCTGCCACCCTCTTCTCCTGATGATGCGGAAGCAATAGCCTGATGACGACGAGGCTGCCAAGTGCGATCAGCCTCATCATCATCAATTAGGGTCTCCGCCTCACTACTAGCCCCCTCGGCTGCGTGTGGGTCAGGAGACAGACCTGTCTCTAGACCGGCTACCGAGCCACTCTCCTCGCCACTACTTCGCCTGGCTGCTGAAGAGGCGGATGTCTCCCCCCGTTCCTGACCGCCCTCTGTTAGCTCTTCCTCACTGTACAGTGGGGCTGAGCCCACAGCATGCGATACTTCGCTTGGTGAGGGAACACCAAAGGACAGGGGCAGGTAGAGGACACGTGATTTCAGTGGGCTTGCTCCCGGGCCATGCCAACTAACGGTTGTGTCTGACGTACCCACCGACCGTTGGCTGTAGGTGTCAGAGGTGACCTGGGAAGAGGAAGACGACCGAGCCAACCAATCGATGACGGCAGGGTTGTCGGTGGAGACACGACCGCTGGATGACACCGGGAGCACTGGCCTCTGGCTGCGAATAGTGCTGCCTCGACCCCTTCCTCTGCTGCCACGTCTGCTCGCTCCTAAAACATTGCCTCCTCTGCCACTCCTCTGCATGTTGTCTGACATACTCTTTAATTAAACGATTCTGTGTCCCTGAGTAACAATTCTGTGTCTGTCCCTGAGTAACAATTCTGTGTCCCTGAGTAACAATTCTGTGGCCCTAAGTAACAATTCTGTGGCCCTCAGTAACAATTCTGTGTCCCTCAGTAACAATTCTGTGTCCCTCAGTAACAATTCTGTGTCCCTCAGTAACAATTCTGTGTGTCCCTGAGTAACAATTCTGTGTCTGTCCCTGAGTAACAATTCTGTGTCTGTCCCTGAGTAACAATTCTGTGTCCCTAAGTAACAATTCTGTGTCCCTCAGTAACAATTCTGTGTCCCTCAGTAACAATTCTGTGTCCCTGTAACAATTCTGTCCCTGAGTAACAATTCTGTGTCCCTGAGTAACAATTCTGTGTCCCTCAGTAACAATTCTGTGTCCCTGAGTAACAATTCTGTGTCCCTCAGTAAATTCTGTGTCCCTCAGTAACAATTCTGTGTCCCTCAGTAACAATTCTGTGTCCCTCAGTAACAATTCTGTGTCCCTCAGTAACAATTCTGTGTCCCTCAGTAACAATTCTGTGTCCCTCAGTAACAATTCTGTTCTGTCCAATTCTGAGTAACAATTCTGTGTCTGTCCCTGAGTAACAATTCTGTGTCCCTAAGTAACGTTTCTGTGTCCCTAAGTAACAATTCTGTGGCCCTCAGTAACAATTCTGTGTCCCTCAGTAACAATTCTGTGTCTGTCCCTCAGTAACAATTCTGTGTCTGTCCCTGAGTAACAATTCTGTGTCCCTAAGTAACAATTCTGTGGCCCTAAGTAACAATTCTGTTCTGTAACAATTCTGTGTCCCTCAGTAACAATTCTGTGTCCCTCAGTAACAATTCTGTGTCCCTCAGTAACAATTCTGTGCCCTAAGTAACAATTCTGTGTCCCTAAGTAACAATTCTGTGTCCCTAAGTAACAATTCTGTGGCCCTAAGTAACAATTCTGTGGCCCTAAGTAACAATTTCTGTGGCCCTAAGTAACAATTCTGTGGCCCTAAGTAACGTTTCTGTGCCCTAAGTAACAATTCTGTGGCCCTAAGTAAACAATTCTGTGGCCCTAAGTAACAATTCTGTGGCCCTAAGTAACAATTCTGTGGCCCTAAGTAACAATTCTGTGGCCCTAAGTAACAATTCTGGCCCTAAGTAACGTTTCTGTGGCCCTAAGTAACGGTTCTGTGTAACAATTCTGTCCCTAAGTAACAATTCTGTGTCCCTCAGTAACAATTCTGTGTCTGTCCCTAAGTAACAATTCTGTGGCCCTAAGTAACGTTTCTGTGGCCCTAAGTAACAATTCTGTTTCTGTGGCCCTCAGTAACAATTCTGTGGTCCCTAAGTAACAATTCTGTGGCCCTAAGTAACAATTCTGTGGCCCCTAAGTAACAATTCTGTGGCCCTCAGTAACAATTCTGTGTCCCTCAGTAACAATTCTGTGTCTGTCCCTAAGTAA